GCGTGGCATCGGAGAACAAGGTTTGATTCCCCACGCCTCCACATGCAGCTGCTGGTATGACCTTGGGTCACTCACAAGTTCTCTCAGAGCTGTTCTCTCAAGAGCAGTTCTCAAGAGAGCTCGCTCAGCCCTCACAGGGTGTCTGTTGTGGGGAGGGGAAGGAAAAAGAGATCATAACCTGCTCTGAGACTTCCAAGTGAAGGGCGGGGTATAAATCCAATCTCTTCTTCTTATTTTCCCAGTCCCACTCACATTGGCAGTCATTTCCTCCCCTGCAATGAGGGGTTTTTACAACTGACAATTGACATATCATTGTACTGTTATAATAACCTATCAGGTTCTTGAATTTCCAGCTATCATTTTTAAAAGTCTCTGACCCCTTAAATCACAGAGATATGCATTTTCCCTTATGAAAGAGGCTAGACACTTCTAAACAATGAAAACTGGGAGACAAAAGACACTGACGGGTAGTGAAGCATTCATAAGTGAACTGGCAGGGAAATGGCATGTTGGGGGGGTTGGCAGCAGTGGACCCTGCCAGAAGCCCTGGGCCCTGAGAGCTGCCCCACCTGAGGGTATGCTGATGACAGCCCTGTTGAGTGGAGTACAGAAAATACAAGGAGACCTGCCATGTGGAGGCCCCATTGCGACTTGCATGTTTCCCAAAGGCTCACGGGAGTGCTTTTGAAAGACTCACCACGACCTAGGGGGGTATACAGCAGGACTGTGGTAGCCGAAAGGGGGATTGTTGGAGAGGTGCCACTTTGAGTACCCTAAGCTTTCTTGTCCTGTGGAAGGGAACTCAAAAGGCATTTAAATGCCATCCGAGCTGTCTTTTCCTAGATCCCATGATGCCCCCCCCCCCAATTCCATAGTGGAAGGGAGAGGGAAGCCCGAGGGCAGATCGTGCCAGCAACAGCCAGTGGGGGAGTCTCAACCCAACCCACAGTGGCAGTGTTGGGTTAAAAATAAGGTTTCTGGCATGGCTGTTTGTGGGGCGGGGCTTTTAATTAAGGGGCGGGGCCTGAAATGCCTCACTGTAGCCAAAGGCCCTGGTTGAGGCCTTCCCCGTCACCCACTGCCTGAGCCTTTTAACTGGGGACGTGGGGGTGTTGAACCTTCTGCATGCATAGCAGGTGCTCTACCCGTGAGCCACGGCCTCCTCAACACTGTTGACAAGTCAGGTTTTTTGGTCTGGGTCTTGGCAAGCTCCAGCTCCTACGCAAAACCAGACTCTGATCCGGCTGCAGGTGAAAAAGGCCACCCTGTCTGAGGTGAATCCTGTTCTTGACCAGCTGCAGCTGTCTGATGTCTCAGGCAGGCAGGGATCTTCTAAGGGACCTTCTGAGTGAGAAAAACCCAACCTACATTTTTTAAAAAGCTTTGAAAAATCCTAAAATTAAATACAAGCTGGTTGTGCAGCCAGCATAAAGCACTGGCAGAAGTGGCTTTTCCCTGCTTTCCGCCACGGTCACTCCGAAGAGAATTCCAGGTGTTAGGGGACCCACCGTGTAATGTATTCAATGAGCTGCCTATTGAATGCATAGTGTTGTGAAACATCTAATTGAATTGCCATGTTGAGCTTCGTCCTGGGCTAGGATCCAAATACATCCAATCAGGTTACTAGCCCAGGAACTAACATCCAATCACTTCACAGCAAGCTCCCTGAGCGGGAACGCTTGTGATTGGTCTTTATTGGTACAACCTCATTGGTTGGTAATTGTACAGTGGGCGTGGCTATATTAGCCAGGAATGTTTAAAAGCAGGACAACTGCAATGGAAAAGCGGAACCGTTCTGTTCTGGTTATTTGATGTTGATCCGTGTTGGGGTTGTGTTCGAGTTGAAGAATAAAGTTGTGTTCTTGCTGAATCACTGACTGCTTTGTTAAGCGAGCGACTTAACACACCGGGACAATACCCCACGCAACACAGGAGGAGGGAGCATTTGAAATTACCCCTCCTGCCATCAACGCTTCCACTGGGCAAAAAGGTTCTGACGGCATAAGAAGCAGCGAAAATCTCCCCACTTCCCCCTCCAGTGTGATATAGTGGTGAAGAGCGGCGGACTCTAATCTGGAGAACCAGGTTTGATTCCCCATTCCTGCACATGAAGTCTGCTGGGTGACCTTGGGCCAGTCACAGTTCTCTCAGGACTCTCTCAGCCCCACCAGCCTCACAGGGTGGCCTGTTGTGGGGAGAGGAAGGGAAAGGAGATTGTAAGCCACTCTGAGGCTCCTTCGAGTAGAGAGAAGTGGGGTATAAAAACCTACTACCACTCCTCTTCTTCCTCCTTCTCCTCTACATGAAGCTTGCTGGGTGATCTTGGGCCAGTCACCGTTCCCTCAGAGATCTCTCAGCCTCGCCTACCTCACAAGGTGCCTGTTCTGGGAAGAGGAAGGGAAGGCAATTGCAAGCCACTTTGAGGCTCCTTCGGGTAGAGAAAAGTGGGGTATAAAACCTCCTCCTCCTCCTCTTCCTCCTCCTCCAATGTTGAAAATTGTACCTGCTCCTCCGCGGGCCCAGAACAAAACATGGGGCTTTGGGATGTCTCTGAACTTTACAATGTACACCAGTGGTGGCGAACCTATGGCACGGGTGCCAGAGGTGGCACTCAGAGCCCTCTCTGTGGGCACGCGTGCCATCGCCCCAACCAGGCCCAGACCATCATTAAAGTGTCGAATTCTCTGCCAAATAATTTTAAGTAAATGAAAGCATTTGGGATTGCTTTCCTTACTTTGTTTGGATCATCTTAAGTTAATGTATGAGTTGTTTTTTCTAAAGTAAAACCTCAGTATTCATGTTAAATTGCCATGTTGGCACTTTGCGATAAATGAGTGGGTTTTGGGTCGCAGTTTGGGCACTCGGCCTCTAAAAGGTTCCCCATCACTGATATACAGTGTTCTCAGCTGGGGGGGGGCACTATGAACTTCCTGGCACACCAAAGGATGAAGTCCTTATCAGGGAACTAAAAGCTTCTATTATAATGATGAAGAGAGATGCAGGGGAGGGAAAAACGACAAAAGGAAGGCAGTAAATCTTTCCACGGGTTCCCTCAATCAACCACAAGGCCATATGAGAGACGCAGTAAACATGTGGCATTGATTGTGAGAGGGGCTGCGGCAACACTCCATTCCTGTCAGGGTTCACCAAGCAACAGGACCCCCAGACTTAATGGGGTCACAGCCCCAAGGTCAGCAGGGAGAAGCCACGAAGGCCTGAGGCAAGCGGCTCAGTCTGGAGGTCAGGGTTCGGGGGAAAAGCATGAGGCCTGGGGTAGCTCCTTCTCACTAGGAGGCAGGTCAGTCAGGCTGCAGAGTAGGCCCCTGGCTCTGAAGCTAGGTGGAGCTGGTGGGCTTTTCCGTGTCATCTACGTAAGGGCCATAGCTCGGTTCAACCTGCACCACATCCCACCACCTGGGTGGCTCAAGAGATCCGGCACCGGAAGCTCTCCATACCTTCCAATCTCCCAATCCACTGAAGACGAATGTAAAAGAGTGAACTGGGAAGCCCTGAAGACAAAACTCACCCCCCTCTTGGAGCACTTAGCATCTCCTTTCAGGACAGAAGCTTTAAAATACAATTCTAGCTGCCTCTGAAGAAGTGAGCAGCGACTCATGAAAGCTCCTCCCCTTCTACATAGTTTGTTACTCTTTAAGGTGCGGTGGCTCAAGTGGTTAAGATGTTGAACTGCAGGCTGTGGAAGGTCAGTAGTTCAGCAGTTTGAGACCCGGGTGCCGCATGACGGAGTGAGCTCCCATCTCTAGTTCCAGCTCCTACCAACCTAGCAGTTCGAAAGCAAGAAATTGCAAGTAGATAAATAGGTACCACTTCGGGGGGAAGGTAACAGCGTTCCGTGTGCCTTGGTGTTTAGTCATGCCGGCCACATGACCACGGGAACGTCTTCGGACAGCGCTGGCTCTTCGGCTTTGAAATGGAGATGAGCACCGCAACCCTAGAGTCAGATTCAACTGGCTTTCGAGCAAGGGAACCTTTACCTTTTAAGGTGCTACTGGACTCTTGCTCTTTTCTACTGCTACAGACAGACTAACACGGCTGCCCACCTTGATCTTTAAATACAAGGATATTCAAAGCCTTTCAATGCCACAGCCTTTCACTGCCAAGCTAAGGCATACAGTGGAAATGGACAAGAGTCCTTTTAAAAATTCTCAGTGGATTTTCTGCCATGAACAATCCATGGCTTCCACATCTGTTCCAGTGGTTTGGCATTTGAAAGCATTAACAGTTAAAAGCTGGTGTTATCTGACCAAAATCCACTGAATCCAGTATTTTGTTTGACTACGCCTGACCAGGTACCCTCAAGGAAGCTTGCTGTCAATCAAGAGGCCATCTAAATGAGGCTCCATCCCATGCTGCTGAGCACCCAGACATCTCCCACTGATCCCTCTAAAAAGAATATTTGACTAGTCCTGCCCTACAGGAGATAAATCATAAAATGGTAGTATGCCACTGAGCCACAAGTGACTCATGGCGACCCCAAGAAGTTCTACCTCGTGGGGTTTTCAAGGCAAGAGAACAACAGAGGTGGTCTGCCATTGCCTTCCTCTGCAGACCAGAGCCAGTTTGGTGTAGTGGTTAAGAGCACGGACTCTAATCCGGGAGAACCGGGCTTGATTCCCCACTTCTCCACATGCAGCTGTTGGTGTGACCTTGGGTCAGTCATAAATTCTTTCAGAGCTGTTCGCTTAAGGGCTGTTCTCTCAGAGCTCTCTCAGCCCCACCTATCTCACAAGGTGTCTGTTGTGGGGAGGGGAAGGGAAAGGGATTGTAAGCCGCTCTGAGACCCCTTCGGGTAGTGAAGGGCAGGGTATAAATCCAATCTCCTCTTCTCTTCTCTTTCTCAGACAAGACCGGGCTAGTCTCGGCTATTAGGTCTGCTATGTATCTATCACAAGGCTACTTTTAAGAAGTAAAAAGCATTTTGCTCCTGCTTTGATTTCGAAGACATTTATTTTAAAAAATAACTTACAAGTAAGGAGGCAACGAGCCACTCTGAAGGAAAACACATGAGACAGGATTATGTTTCACGTCTTAACATACTGACATACTATAATGAGTATTATAATAAAACTGTTATCACAACTATTTTGTCATAGAATTTTAGCCAAGACCAACTCTGAAGAACGTATAATCCTCACGGAGCAAATGGTTAACAGTTCTGTTCTTGACGGTATCGCACTGAACAGAAATCTACTTTTAAAACTACAGCCTTACATATTTCACCGACAATATGCTTCATATATATGATAAAAAATATATTTCATTTTTCAAATACCATTACAAAAAAAAGGAACAGCAATAAAATAGAGTTCTGCCTTCTTTAAATACACACTGTAAAAGGTATACAGTGAAGTCAATAAATCTGGCTGGGAATGGGCTGTCCACAGTCAGAGAGACGCACAAGGAAAACTAGTAATGTCTTCAATACAAGATACTTTGTTTACCGCACATTTTCTGTACGAGCCATAGCTGGAAAAAGTAGGGATTCTCTGGCCGTAAATAAAACACCAGAAAACATTTAAAAATGCAGCGTTTTCGATAGTTCATGTTCTGCTACAAGTTTCGGGATCGATTGACTCATTGGTATTTTATTAAGCCAAATTTAGAGACTGAACACGAAAAGATAAAAGTCCTTTGGGTAGCCGTAATCATTTTGCATTTTGCTCCAGCGCAGAGTACTCCGTTTCTGATACCCTGGAAGTATCGATCAGTTTAGTGAGGCCAGTTTTGGCCGAGTACTTAAAGATGAACGCCTTCATGAGTTCATACTTGTAGTTTCGGTTGATGAAGCTGTAGAGGATGGGGTTGACGCAGCAGTGAACTAAGGATAAGCACTGAGTCACGTGAAGGGCCGCGTAAAGGAAGTTCTCCAGCTGACAGCTGAAGGATATGAAATGGAGGGCCGCGAAGATGTCAAGCAGGACGGTCACATGGTACGGCAGCCAGCAGACGAGGAACACGACGACATAGGAGAGGATTATCTTCCCGTTGCTCTTCTTCTCTTGGTCACTAGAGGCGCAAATGGTCCTCGCTAGAAGGCAATAGAAAACAGCAATGACAGGAAAGGGAATGACGAAGCCTAGAACCACAGAGCTCAGCTCCATTCCCACCAGCCATTCTTTAGCGTTCTCCTCCGGATAGAGGGCCCGGCAGTAGGTTTCACCATTGGACGAAACTGTCTTTAGGTAATAGGCATCGGGAAGAGACACAAAAAAGGCAAAAAGCCACACAAAGACGCAGATGCAACGGCGGATGATCTTCTTCTTAGCGCTGTTGGAGGCAGCGAAGTAGACAACCGAGAGATACCGATCGACACTCATGCAAGCCAGGAAAAAGATGCTCCCGTACAAATTTATGGAAAACACAAGGAGCGTGATCTTGCACATGACCTCCCCCATGTGCCACTGGCCGTGGTGGACAAGGGAGATGACCCAGATGGGCACAGTGAGGATCACGCACAGGTCAGCAACGGCTAGGTTGAAGATGTAGAGGTGGGTTTCATAGCCGGTTGTTTTGGCTTGGAAGTTCATCCAGACGACAATGAAATTGGCCACCAGCCCGATCATGAATATAAAGATGTAAAAAACAGCCAGGATGTAGAGCAGGGCGCTTTTGTTGAGCGTATTCGGGCATGATACCGAGTCCACGGTGATACAGTCTCCATGGCAGGTCAAGTTGCTTTCTGTAAGGTTCCCCACTTCCACTTCGAACATCGAATGCAAATCAACGCCACTCATAGTTGGCTGATATGGAACAGAACAAGTCTAAAGGGGGGCGAGAGGAAAGAAGGAGAAACATCAGCGTTAGAGAACATCCATTACTACACAACTGCCTTTGTTCCAAATGACCTTATCACCACCTCAAGAATGTTTTGGCCTGGTAGCAGTTTACACAGTGAAGAAGACGGTGCACAATAAAATACTTAAAACTTTACGGGAGGAAAAAAAAAACATTAGATCTGTGAAAGAAAGAAAAAATCAACAAGGTCATAAAATTAATCTAGTGTACATTACAACGGAGAGACAACATTGAGTTTCTGTGCAATTTTCAGAAATAACAAATCTTCGGGACATTTTTGCTGGCTGCGGTTCCTGGCTGTGAAATCCACAAAGTCGTCAGGTCAGAAGAACTGTTGGGTGGCTGCCCGCTGGAGATTAAACTCAGCTGCCGTCCCCACAATCGAGAGACTCCTGCCCTCCTGCCCACATTTCAAAATTACAATTCTGGGTTCAAGGGTTACCCCAAATGCTCCTAACAGCTTTTACTGGCATCCACAGGGAACGGAGGTTGCCAGTTAATCAAATATGCTGGATAACAAAGCTTTTTACCCAGCCGCAGCAGAGCAAGCCGGGCACAGCCTCCACTTGAGTCGCTCAGTATGCCACTTAACCATGCTTTCCAGTCGGCTGGGTGCTCTCCTCATCCCGTTGGTCAAGAGGCACCAGTATAAACTCTCATTAGACAGGGCTGTTGTTTCAAGGTTTCTGAAAAACATCCTTTGGGGCAGCAGTATAAAGCCTTAGTACTCAGGCATTTCTATCTGTGTGCCCTTGGAAACGCAGTTCAGAAACAGCCTTGCCAGAAGACCAGGAAGTGGCTACCTCTCAGAATTTTGGATGCCAAAGCAGCAGAATTGGGAGTCAGTCAAATGCAATCCACTGGGAAAGTTCTCCTGCCCGGCATTACTGGGGGACAGAGCTTTCCAAGAGCATAGAAATTGGTTGGAGGAAGGTAGGTACCACCATGTGAGCTTCAAGGGAAAGGGCATTCCAATGCATCATGGGCTGCCCAGAAGCACTTTGGAGAAAAGGGCAGCTGCTGGAGTCAATGTTTTTGGGGGGGCTGGCAAATTTGGGGGAACACTGAAAACAACTCACACTTAGAATTTATTTTTTCATTGTAATGAGCGAAATGTTTTTATTCAAAGTATATTCCGTGAAGAAGTCTAAGGAATTTTTAAGAAATTATATCAGAAAGATTGGGGAATTTGGGAGAATGCTGGGGGGGGGAATCTTCTATGAAATAGATTGTTTTCTTTTTGGAATGACTGAAACGTGCTAAGACAGCAAAGGATGCAGCAATTTGCAACTCCACTTTAATGCATTTGCAATTTTGCATGCAGAAAACTAAGGTATATTCATATACTTTTAAGTTCTCTAAATATGCCAATTAATACAATTTTAAATATGCTAACTAAGTTATAAGTGACATATTTTATGCTGCTGAAGCAGCAAAATAGGTTTAGGTTTGATAGGAATGTATTGCATTTATTTCTATTGTTCCTCCAGGGGGGGAAATGGTTTACCCACAGCTTCAGAATTTCTGGAAATTTTACACCTCTAGATAGTGTTAATGTTTATTCTTCTTGCTTCTGGAGCCAGCTTCTAAAGAGTTAGCAAAATGCTATTTCCCGGACAATTGTGAAGTTGCATAGTGCTCTCTTCCAAAAAAATATCTGGCGAGCGGGTAGCACTTTCAGGTGAAATGGGGAAAACGTTAAGAATTTCAGGTTGGATTAAATCCTAGATCCATCAAGCCCTGCCCCTCTTTCTGACTATGCCCAAAGGTGATAAACAGAAAGTGATTAAGTTGCTTTGCTCTTGGTTATTAGAGGCACAGTGGCCTTTGTACTTGGAAGTTCCATTTGTAGATATTGTGGCTAAGAGATACTAATAAAATCTGCATAATCTTTCAAAAGTGACTATCACAGCTTGTGTTTGCAATTAATTCCATAGGTGAATTACGCATTCAGTGAAAAACACACAGTTCCTTCTAAATCAATGTCACTGCCTGGCTCAGAGTGCAAATACTCTGAGATACAGTAATACAATTAAAAACAAATTCCACACTATTTGTGGTTTAAGTGTTCTAAGCTTTTAAAACTCTGCATGTTCTTTACCATCAAAATTTCAGTTGTTGTTTCCCCCATTTCTTCCCCAGAAAAAGTAAAACGTGCAATATTTACTTTCCTATCAAACCTAAGCTTTTCAAAATGATTTAGGCTGCGATCATACGCACAATTAGACCCGACATAAGCGCGAATGCCGGGCGGATTTAAAGGGTGCGATCAGACAACAACACCTGGGAAGTGCCCCACAGCTGTCAGCAACCCATTCTGCTCTGCTGCAGAAGTGGAGTTAAAAGACACCAGGGAAAATCTGATCAGACCATCCCGACTCCGTGCCATTGTTCCCCCCCCCTTCACAGTATGTGCATCATTGCAAACTCCATAGGGAGCCCTCAGTTCATCGATTCCTCATTTAAGCGCATGGAAAACAAACAGCACCAAAAAAACCCTGACTCACCCGCAGTTGCGTCTGATCACACAGTGATGGGCTGCTCCCACAGCTTTAAAGGGAGGTGTGATCTCGCAACTGTGGGTCAAATTCCTCCGGAGGAAATAGCCTCGCTTCCCCCCCACACCCCCGTTTTTTCTGGCATGTGTTACCACACCCTTGCTGATTCTTTTACTGCATCATTTATAACTTTGTTAGCATATAAAATTATAGTATCTGACATATTTCTGGAATTATAAGTATAAAGTCTTCATTTCTATATGACACAACTATACGTGTACCCAATACTTGAGAAAAGGTGCTGCAAACTGCCACACCCTATGTGTTGGGATGGCCCCTGCCACACGGCAGGGAAAAGACGGGGCGAAGCGCGGCTTTTAAAAGCCGCGCCAAAAGGGGCCGGGGATGAGATGGCGGCAAGACACGCCACTGATCCCATGGCCAGGATGAAGCAGACCATCCGGATGAACCACCGAAGGTAGGTGGTTCATCTTTGACGCGCTTCATCGGGGGAAGGGCCGGACTGGAGGCGGGAGCGCGACGCCAGGCAGATGTTGGCGTGGGATCGCGCCTGTTTGATGCGCTTCCAATCCGGCCCGCTCCCGGCCCAAACTGCCTCGTATGAACGGGGCCTCAGCAGAGTATTAAGAGACTGAGTCCATGGTGTGTATTAAAATATAAAAGTTTACTATAAACCTAACATGGGGAAAAGGTACACAGGATATGAAAATAACAAAGAGCTAATATGCCTACATCCTTGCAGCTAAAAGGTAAAACGGGAAGAGCCGAATGGCGTCTCCTTCTCTAGTCAGAACAAAGAACGGGAGGAGAAACCAATATGCTAAATACTTGACACCTTGGTTTCTAATCAGACTAGCAAATTAGCTCCAAAGTTCCCGGGCATTCTCTTGTCTAAACAGATTGGTTACAAACAAACATGTGACTTAACAAACATCATTAACCCTGTAAATACTGAAGTGTTTTGACTTGTAACACCCAACACTATGCTAAGACAAGACATATATCTTATTTTTTGCCACCTGAGAGGTAGGGGGGAAACTGGAAGCTGAATGCTAAAAACAAATTCTGTAGTAAACAAAAGAAAGTATTATTGGAACAGGAAAAACTCTCAGTCACAATAGGAAAGACTACCAGCATATTAAGCTGAACTTTGTAACATTGAACTCTTTAAATAAGACACTACCACTAAAAATTTTAAAGCATATTAATCGTCCCCCAAATTATTAAGCCTTACACAAAAAACATTACTGAAAATGTTGTGTGTCTACAATATACACAGGAACCGTCATTATCTAATGATGTAGACTGTCTTACAAGACAATTTTTGTACTACCCATTTTGAGTAAATCTTTTTCATTTTACTCATTCTACAAGGGTAAAAAAATACATGGTGTTTTTTGTTTCCCTGGTGCCCCTCAGAATTTCCTAATCTTTCCATTGCGAAACTGAAGTCCTCAGACAGATTTTATCATGCTATAAACTTTGTGTGAGGAAAACCTTGCCTTATGGACACATTTCAGTTATTCTAAAACAGAAAATATTTCATAGGAGGCTTTCCCCCCCAGTGCTCCTCCAAATTTCCCAATTTTTCCACTAGAAAAATGGGGGGGTGGATCCTGATTTCCCCAGGACTACACCTTTAAACAAAAGCACACCTCTATTGCTGTGCTATAGATTTATGTATATTTGGAGTGGGTGGGTAGAGAAATTATATGCCACTTCTACAGAGACCAGCTCAAGGTGTCTCGCATGTGAAAACAATACTATAAAGTAACTTAAAAGAGCATGAATCCTCAATATTAAAAAACAAGCCAGGGACATAAAGTCAGCATAAAACTAATACAGAGCAGCATAAATATCCATAAACAATCCTTTGGCTAGAAGCAGACCATAAAACAATTGAGAAACATCAAACCCTTTAGTTAAAACCCTGGGTAAAACCGAGTGTTTGGTCTGGCACCGAAAGGACAACAACAGACAAATGTCAAAGAGGAGAACATTCAAGGGTAATCCCAATTCAGACATAACGTAGTTCATTTTAAATATGGTTAGTGTAGAAACCAGGAAACCTGCCCATGGACAATCAATCAAATCCTGGTCTTGACACACACAATGGTTATATCGCCTCACTTCGGCTCAGCATCTCCACAGTGGAGAAGCGTGCAAGGGTGTCAAGCAGGGTTACGCTAAGATGTTGGTATTTCTACAGTCACACAAAAGTGCAATAAAGACTATGGCTAATAAACCAACTTCAAACAGTTTCATAGCCTGGCTTGACAGGTCTTAACTCACTATAATTAGCAGAATAGCCTGGATTCGGACACTCCTACTGTTCTTGTTACTTTCTTTAACTTGTTCTTTTGGTCAGCCTGGCACTAGAACAAAATGTTTGTTAGATGTTTATACGAGGAACGTATTGGGGTTGGATCCTGTAGAACAG